GAGAGAGAGAGAGAGAGAGAGAGAGAGAGAGAGAGAGAGAGAGAGAGAGAGAGATGTGACTGCTCCCTGTTCTAGGTGAGGCTGAGGCGCCCTTCTATTTTTTTTCATCCTTAGTTTTTGCTTCTAAGAAGCTGCCTATTCCACATTCTAACATCTAATACCAGGATTTTCCCACTTAGGCTAGGGTTTTCAGACCCTAGGAATCGAAATCTAATGACTGGTATATGATCAGGTACTTGGTTTCACCGCACCCACAACCCTGACTAAAAAAAATTAGTGAAGTGCTTGTTAAAATGACTGCTATGGGAGACTGCATGGTGGCCGTGCTCTCAGTTTCCGCAGACAAGCATCCAGATGGTCTTCAGACACTGGTTGGCAAACCCCTGACAGCTGTTTGCCAGTGGACATTGGTGGTTGGTGCGCTGATGCAACTCTGTTCCTGAGGATGAAAGGAAGGCATATGTTGAAGTTCTGTGACCATTTGTAACGATGAGTCGTAAGAAGAATATTAAGTGAAGCAGTTCAACCTGCAAATTAGTCAGTGTGTCTAGATTCTAATGGTTTATCGGGTGTCACTGTCCTGCTACCTGTTTTCAGTGTGAACACAGCAGTATACTGGTGCTTCTGCTGCGAATGGCGGAAATTGTGAAGCAAGGTCCTGGTCTGCAGAGTGATGATTCTGGTATCCGAGAACTGCGAGCGTTTCTGTCATTGTTGGACAAAATGCTTGAGGCAAACCATGTGAGTAATGTTTCTGTTGTGCATCTCCTCGCCTACACCTGTTGACAGATTGTCTGCCTGGCAGATCGGAGGTCAGAGTTCTGAACCCTACACTTTGTCGCTCTGTCTCGCTCTCCGTTCGCTCCTATCAGCTTTCATTAATAATAATAACTTGACATATTACTAAATATCGGGGGTTCGAATCCCTCTCCATCCGTTCATGTATGTTAATTTACCGAGAATGAATTCAGTGTTGAAAATGATTATCGAGGAAGCTCGAATTCGTTTCTTGTGGATTTTTATTTTGTTTTGAAAGGAAAGAGTGCTGGCCATCTTGTTTCCAGCACAGGGGAACAATCTCTCAAAACAATGATCCGAGCAAATGATAGCAATGGACCTAAGAAGCGAATGAGAAGAAAGCTCAGAAAACGAAGCTTGCGGTTCGTGGCTGGAATATTTAGGTGGTGTATGTCTATAAGGAGGAAAGGTTAGGGTAATTGGTCAGATTCTGACACTATCAGAAGTCCGCAGCAGCTAGCTCTCAGACCAAAAGTGCATCAGATCCCGCAGCAGCTACCTCTCAGACCAAAAGTGCATCACAGCCCTTCTCACAGGGATAATATTCAGTAGAGTGGCAGGGGCATCCCTGTTGAGTTACAAGGGTACCATTTGTTGCATTGTACTGGGGACACGGAGAGGAGCTATTGAATGACGGTGAACACTCGAAGAGGAAATTCAAGTCATCACATATCATAGTTAAGCAGTGTATCCCCAGAGGATATGAAGTGCATGACAATGCAGGAGCAAGAGAGGGCATCGGGGGGGAATGGGGAAAGGCCATAGCCCCATCCCTTTTGGGTTGGAGAAATTTTGAGCCGGTAGCCAGAATGCCCAGAATGTCTTCATAATAAAGTTCATATAAGTTCATAAATGTCTAATAGCAGCGAAACGATGGACTCCAGCTGCCCCCAGGTCCGGCTACGAAAGCTGCATCCTTGGTTCTGTCCTGCCTTCTTTTGCGACGACTGCTGGACCTCCTGCATGTTCAGTTGCAAAATGCCGTAGGTTGGGGAAGAACGGCCAAAAGGGGATGATGGTTCAATTAGCTGCACTGCTTTGACTGATCAACCTTACTGCCTACATGGTACCTGCATATTGTCAAACTATCTGCTGGGAACGGGGAATCGTCAGTAGGATTTTCTTCTCTTATGCTGGTTGTGAGTAGGAAACACGTAGCAGTTGATGGTACCGAAGAGGACATGCTGCTGTTGGGGCAGCTTAGCGTGAAAGCTGACGCAGTAGTTATGTACAGTCAACTTGTTCTGATTGTTAAGCTTGTTGTTATCAACATGTAATCATCCCCAAAAAAGAAAAAAGAAAAGAAACACGTAGGTGAGTGACCGTGAATCTCATTTGTTACTTATTTATTTTGTATGTTTGGAAAGGCGGCTGCCTTGCATATCATCATCAAACTGACCGGCCCCAGGTAAATTCGGAGTTATTGATTCATCTGAGTTGAGTGCGCTTCGAACTGACGTATGTATTTCAACAGTTCATGGGTGTATCAACTGCGCTAGGCCCGTTGCTAAGTCTCATTTTTGTAAGGGGGATGGGGCGAGATTTCCATCAAAAATAAAAAGAGTGTCAACTCGGTTGAGGATTCGGGGAAAAAAAAAAAAAAAAACAGAAACATGCAGGTCTCTGTTCATCGGCACATATGACTTACGGAGGGGTTCAGTTTTAGAGGGATGTCTTTGTCGTGGGCAAATGTGCAGCATCCATGTGTCTCCAGAAGATGTACTGCAAAACAGCTCAGCCAATGGGAGTTTCACCCAGAGTATACACTTTCTGAGCTTGTCGACCGATGACTCGTGAAGAAAATAACATTTGTCCAAGGCTCGCTCGCGACCATGACCCGGAAACGTCATATTGAAACCACACACTGCACTACCAAAGCACTCTGGCTCAATCCACAAGACCATGTCTGCCCAAAATGAAGCTCATGGAAATTTTACGCACAGGAGTGCTCTGAGATAACCTACAGGAAACGACCTTTGAGTGCAGCCTCACTCACACGACCTCACTTTCATCGCTGTGGTCCAGTTTTATGAGGCGGCTTTGAAAGGGAAGCAATGAAAAAACAATTCTTAGAGGACTTTCGAACCTGAGGGGGAGGGGAATGTGAGGCTCCGGGCCTCCGCATGTCAAAAACGGCTGCCTGTGAAAAAAATCAGGCCGACCTACGTCAAGGCGGACCTGAGGAGTGTGTTGCCCAGACTGGGAAAATGCTGCCAGGGGGAAGCTTGGGCCTGAGAAGAGGCACCAGCCTCTGTAACCCAGTAGACACAGCCTCCAGTTTGTTACAGTGCCTGGGATCCGGATACAGTTCCAGTGGTTAGCAGGTCCCGCCTACTGGGCCAAGGCCGTGGCCTCCAGATGAAGACAAAAGGAGGGAGGCCGCCAGAGGATGGACATTCTGGCAGAAGTCAGATCGCAACAGCACTGGATAACGGTAGACGCCGGAGGAGCGCCCGAGGATGAGAAGCAGCTGCAGTGGCTGCCGGCTGGCCCAGCCACAGCTGGGCAAGCACTAGCAGGGCGGAAGGGTGGCAGTGTGTGGAAGAGTTTGGGAAGAGGAGGAAGACAATCGGAAATCTTTCCTTGTGTTCGCAGAGGAAGCCTGTGTTAGCAGAGTCTTCAAACGGCATCTGGCGAGTGACAGTGAGTGAGAGTGCAGTAGGCTAGCCTGAGTCAAGGAAGTAGGAAGTAGCATAGCGGTCGCATCACAGTAGGGATACAACATTATTGCTGGATTGATTAGTGAGGGTAAGAACAGGGGCTTTCGTTATCGAGAGACTTCAGTATTTTGCATACTTGCGGCGCATCGAGGTGCGCGGCATCCCGCACGTGCGCCGCACCGTGCACCGCGCACGACGCGCGCGCACGGGGTGGGGCGCACCCCGAAAATAAGGGGTCGGCCAAAAAAAAAAAAAGTTGGGGAGGGGTGTTGTAGGCTCAAGTGGGATGTCGCGTCAAGAAACAAAAAAAACAAAAAAAACAATTTGAGGCCGCGCGGGGCCCCGGAAAAAAAAAAGCGGGGGGAGCTGAATTTTCTTTTTTAAGGAAGAACATTAGAATTTCTTTGCACGAGTGAAGCCCGGCGCGTCCAACCTGTCAGAACCTCAACGGTAATGTTCACCAACGGGCTCGCTGCACAACTCTCGACATGCACAACAAGACATAGGGCCTCGCTGCACTACTCTCAACATGCACAAAAGACAAAAATATTGGCGGTGTATCTTTCCATATTCTAGCGCAAGATTCACTCTCGTTTTGCAGATT